TTAACATATAGAAGCACGAAGAAATAATGTGTGAAAATTATCGAGTGGTTTGTAAGTATTGTTTTCAATTGATACCAAGGAAAGAAATGGAACATGATGAAAGTACGACTTGTGATGAAGTGCCGACGAAATGTGAATTTCAAGCCATTGTATGCAACCATGATAAAGTAAGAATGTTTGTACTGATTTATAATTTCATGTCAGCAGTAGTAGATGTGTAGTAGCTCCCACCGACAATCTTGCATTTGTTCTTTGCACAAAAAAACTTTACGTCAAAAACCTTTGAAATGATAGTATGATATAAAAATGCTTAGAAGTTTTAAAAATTAAAACAAGCAATGTTAAAAACGTTGACTTTGTAGTTAAATGCAGCTGCATCAGGTTTACATGAAGTACACATTTATAAATTCACTCATTTACAAATTTATAAAATCAGAACATATGATTATTAAGATACTCGATGGTTTACCCAAGCTAAAGAGCTAGAGCTTTCCCGATAAGCAAGTTGCAGTAAATATAATTCAATCTGCCGTATTAACGTACTTTGTACTCCTTACTTTACACGTATATGGAGACTGGGGGGACTGGGAAAAGCTAAGACGTGCCAAAAAAAGAAATTACTCGTTCACTTTTCATACAGATGAAATATAAGTTGAGAAACAAGATTTATTATGATACATAATGTCTTAGTCATAGGAAAACATTGAATTGAAACAACCATTAAATAGCGTCAAATATTTTGTTAAAAGAATGTGCTGGCAGTATCTTTTTTCACTTCACAGACTTTAAAACAAAAGAAAATCAGACAACCAGGAGGGGATATAGGGTTTTCTAAACATCAGTCATGGAAGGCTGGAGGCGTTCCTAACCAGGGTAAATAATGTTTAGTATATACAGAGAATCTATTGTCTTGTGTTATACCAAAATACTCTTGGCAGTCGTAATTCATGAAGTTTGTTTATCTACATTTATTTGTAAAATTACGCCTGATGAAAGCTGGTTCATTACGTGAAAATATATACTTCCCCTCTAGTCCTGTAGATTTATGGTTGAACCTTGAACTAATTCCCACAAAAGCTCACTCTTCAAAAGTATCTTTCCTTTCATGTACAGAACAACATATTAAAAGTCCCACATGATCTAAGGCCGGCAACTTCGTAAAATAATGTTTTCTGTGAAATTATGACATAAAAACGAGGCTATAAACAAGAATTACAAAATAACACTGCTTTGACCTAACGAATATCATATTTCATTATATAAATCTGCAGCGTAGCTATTAAAAATCATGTTAAGTCTTCAACGACCGAAAAAAAGGAATCCTTTAGGTTACATAGTAATACAAGAATGTCACTAAATTTACATATGGTTGATATAGTGTACTTTGATTTACAAAGACATTTCTGTCATTTCATACTTTTGTTAATCATCTTCAACATCAACACCACTGTTAGTGCAACCAGTTCCTCTACATTGACCACATGCCATTGTGCAGTGAAGTCCATTTTTACGACAGGTACATCTTGCAGTTGAACAATTTGTGGTACAGTTGCATCGTATCATATTAAGCAAGTTTTCAGGAGCTGCTGGAAGATCAGTTGCTCTAGGTACGATAACATAACCACACATTTTCCAACCAAATGCATCAATCAACAATCCTTCGTCTTGACTCTGCCATTGCTTAACTTGAAGAAAGACTCTCAATGAATGATACTTGACTGCACTAGATGTTGGGGGAAGACTTTGGGGCTCTACCATTCGGCCTTTAGTGCACACCTCGTAGTACTTCTTGTGACGCAAACTGTCTAGAGTCTCGCCTTTTTTTCTTCCATACATGCAGACCAAGGCATTTTCACCACTCTGGATAACCGTATTCATGCTGACGTTTGAAACTTCAAATGCTGATGCTTGTTCACGGAAATAGTTTGAATGTGTGAATTTCTTAAGAGGTGCCGATTTTCCAAGGCCAAAGGGCCGGGATGTCGTGTCACAACCAGCAATAGCATGAAGAAACAAAATGTTTTTACACAGAGATTCACCCAGCTCTGATCTCACTATTCTCATGTTCCATACTCTTTCCGTTCTACGTTTAGTTGTTTTCTTTGGTTCTGGACGAAAATAAAGACCACATCCCTCATCCACTTTGACGTAATAGCACATTAAAACAAGAAGATCTGTATCATCTCCAACAAGAACGGTAGGAGATTTCATGGCACTTGAAACAGCTGACTTTACTATGAGAAGATCAGCGTCACCATCGGCTTGGAGTGTAGTACAGCCATTCAAATCCAGATAATTTCGAAGAGTAGTTATAAGTCGTTTCTTATTGTGTATATTAGCCAGGAATACATCTCTTTTCATTGTTATCTTCATGTCAGCTTCGAATGACACTGTTCCCCCAACCTTTCCGGATGATCTTCGTTGTTGCGCCATGTTCTTAGTAGATGGGTTATCACAACCGTCAAAAACAATATTTCCTGCCCCATATTTCTGTTTTACATAGTGACAGTACTTCTGGCACAATTCTTGAAAGGTTGCTTTCTTTGGCCATGGTACGCGATGAAGAAGAGCTCCTCCATCAATGACGAATTTGGTTTCGCCGACCGGGCCGGCCTTAGCATCACTTGACAGCATTTCCCACAATGTGTCTGCAAGATTAGACTTCTGAGGCTGTCGCAACGTTAGCGGGGAATCGAACAAGGCTGCTGGATAACTACAAAGCTCGTATTGAAATACTTCTTCTAAATCATCAACGGTATTACATGCAAAGACTAACCTCTGAAACAGAAGCTGTGGATCGTCATGTACTTTTACTCCGTTTATCTTTACTGATGAGCCTGCAGCAAGAGTAATGGGCTGATCTTTACGTGTAAATGTGTAGTCGCATACTTTTGTACCAGCCATCTTTGACAATATGTTTTCTCCTTTACTTCGAGCTTCATCAACATCAACGGAATCATGTGCGTTTACACCTGTCATTATATTCTTGAGAACTGATTCTTGAATAAATGGATTCTTTCCTTCTGATGCAAGCGTTTTAAGTATGAGCATGGTATCATCCATATCTCTTTTCTGTCGACTTTGGGACATATCTTTGTTTTGTTCGCTGTGTTCACAAATGAAGCCAATGAGGTCTTGCATAGCTGAGCGTAGCGATTTAGAAATATATGATGGATTTGTGTATCGTTTCCTACATGCTATGTGAACGCTGTCACTTTCACGGACGTCAACTGTATCGCCTCTTTCTTTACTAGCTCGGTTTATACCATCTATCCCTTTGGATGTTAGAGCCATCCCGTTGTTCACAATTGATTCTTTACATATTGCACAGTACTGACGCAGAATTTGATCTATCCTATAATGATTCACAAGCAAAATAGTGTTCGACAACACAAAAAAGCCTGGTTTTATTTACTGGTTTATGCGATATTTTACAGCCCTAATGTATCTATGGCTTTGAACGCGGTATTATAATGCAAACATTGTATTTGGTAATTAGGTCGCTAATTATAGCCCTTCTTGTTAGTTTTAACTTAAATTATTGTGACCCACAATATTGACGTATTCATTGTAAAATGTAATAGCAATTAAATAATACATTCATTAACTCATTGTCTTCAAGTTATCTATTTTGCTTACCTTGAGGAGAACAAAGAAACGTCACATTTTGATGCCAATAATGAGCCAAAGCTTCAATTTGAAGTATTGAAAGGGAAGTCACATTAAATATAATAAACATCCATCTAAGCACGTGCAAAATATACGTAAACAAACGTACTTCAAACATGCGTTTGTCTAAAAAACTACCAAGTCAGCGAAAATTAGTACCCAAAACAGCAATATGAGCATTTTTGACGTAAATAAAGGACAAAACATTAATTAATTTACAAAATATCATTATCCACTTGTTTTTAATCTATAATATTTATATTTGTGCTTTACTAAGTGTTCTAAAAGGATAAAATCTAAAACATTAATTTTTGAGCCTCGTTTCCATGTCGCTCAGATTTTCAATCGAAATGCCTCAAATAAAATGTAATTTACACGATGTTGCCGTGCTAGGATTTTGTGGGACTTTCGATATGTTGTAAAGGGATATCAAATATACCAAAATCAGTTGGAATTTCTTTGTGGAAATTTGTTCAAGCTTAGAGTGTTTTTGGTCGTAGATTGACTGGACTAAAGGGAAACAAGTCAGTTCTTACCATCAGATAAATCTTCTCAAGGAATTTCACAACATTATGATTTAATAAGTGAGCAAAAAATTTAAAATTGAAACTACCAGTTTGGCCTAATTTAAGAATTTGAACAGGAATGACTTGTGGCCTTTAACAAACAGTTGTAATTTTTAAGCTTGAAGTTTTTCCCCCTTTCAATGCCTCGAAATCATTTCACAAGTCATTGTCGTTAACATTTTCCAATTAAGCCAATTTAGTTGTTTTCATTTTAAAAGTTTTGCGTGATTATTAAATTTGTTAAATCAGAATATTATGAAAATTCTCGAGAAGATTTATCTGTTGATGAGTATTGAATCATTTCCATTTGACAGAGTTATTTAAAACTTTGCTGAATCTCGGCTACCGGCTCATGCTATCAGCCCCTAAAAGACAAATGTAAAAAACATGCTGTCAAAATTTTAATTTAATATGTTCGAAAAATATAAGGTTATTTTTCGACGAAAATCAACAACATAGTTCGAAAAAGAACTTTTTGTAATTAATTTTTAGGTATAAACTAACCTCAATCTTAACAGATTTGATTGCACAATTAAGAAATTTATGATATGTCTATCATATGTAGTTGTTGATAAGTATTTTCAAAATGTTTGATATTAATATGCGTTTCTTTTTCCCATGCATGAATTTAATTCTTTTATCGAATTTTTTTAGAATCAAAGTTGCAAGAGTGGAAATACAATGATAAATCAAAGAAGCATAAAGAAATGTTTTCAAATCTGATTAAACGTGCACGCAATCCCAGTGTCAAGGTTGAACAAGTGAATGATGTACGTGTGATTTTTTCGGACGATTTTTGCATCGGTAAAGGAAATAACGAGACCCGTGTTTTTCTTGGACTGAGAAAGGATGGTTACGGCAAAGCAGTGAAACGAATACGTCGAGACAACGGCATGAAGCTTGCACAGAAAGAAAAAGAAATTTTAAATCAATTCAACGCAAAGAAATCGAAATATGTTGTGAATTATTCCTTCTTAGAAGAAGATACTGGAACGGAGTAAGTCTATTTAATATTAGACCTATGTGAAGAATCGTTGAAGAGTTATGTGAAATCTTCTTCTCTAAGTGATCTTCAAAACGCTCTTCCCAAAATTATTAGACAAATTTTAAATGGATTAGCTGATCTTCATAGTGGCGAAAATCCTATTATTCATCGGGACTTAAAACCTACCAATGTTCTCCGAGACTCACAAGACAACTTTCTGATAGCTGACTTTGGCATTAGTCGAATATTGAATAATGATTCTACGACACATGAAAGCAGTCCTAACACAGGAACGGAGTATTGGATTGCTCCTGAATCATATTGTGAAGATGTAGATTCTATTGATAAAGGACGGTACAAGAAAGAGTCTGATGTATATGTAAGTGTATGTTGCAATACGGTTCTTGATTTGTGAACTATTTAATAGTGGTCCGTTAAATATAATAAGTACACGTGTGTTGAGCCCGCTGTCTGCGGTGCTCTAGAAACCTAAGGTCCCTGAGGGTTTTACAAGCAATATACTACATTATTATAGCAATATAGGAATATAACCATTTTTACTTCAGGCATACATACAGTCAAGTTGTGACATTACATTGCTAATCTTTTTAGAATGCAGGAATGGTAGCTTATTATGTTGCAACAAAAGGAAAACATCCTTTTGGAATTCAACGGTATAGACTGGACAACATGCTGAAGGGAGACCCTGTTGGTTTGAAAGAAATCAAGAATGAAACATTAAAAGACTTTCTGTCGTGGATGTTAAATCGACAACCCGAAGATAGACCATCAGCTACTGAGGCGTTTAAACACCCATTTCTTATGTCGGATGACGAGAAATTTGATTTATTATGGAAAGTTGGAAATCTTCAACAGATTAAGACAAATGATTCCAAGTCACTGGTCGTTCAACATCTGAATAGCGAAACTTTAGATTGGAGAAGCCAAATGGATAGTGATGTATATGATTATTTTAGAACGAACGTGAGGACTGGAAGGATTTTTAGGTATGGATCTTCAAAGACAGAGTGCTTGAGACTTATTCGAAATACTGGTGAACATTGGTATGATGAACAACGACCTCTACCACAACCAGAACCATTATATAAGATTGGTGATCACAAGTCGTATTTTCTGAAAACATTTCCCACTCTACCTGTTATGGTGCACGCTGCGGTGAGGTCCAATGAAGAACTGAAAAACAATTCAGAACTCAAGAACTTTTTCTATTTCAGTGAAAAGAAATCACATCAAAAATAAACAGTTTTTAAATAGTAAGAACAGTTTGTGAAAAGGCAAGCGTCCACGAAGAATTTGAGATACCGTTGTAAATTATACTTTCCTCAGATTGGAAAAGACAAACACATTTTGACGTATATCATTATTTAAATGATGGCTTTCCTTAACAGCTAGATAAATGGATTGCCACCAACACTAAAACCATCCATTGTATAAAGTGGATGATTCTAAGGAGTTGTTTCTGAAATCCCCGTCAGGTCAAATGACGAATTGAAAAACAACCCAGAACTTAAGAACTTTTTTGAAAGCGGACCACATCAATGAAAAATTTATAGGCAGGAAAACAAATTAGAAATCAACGATACTGTAGTTAAAGATGTTATTTTATAGATGTAAAGTAAAAACACTTTTCACGACGCATTTGGTCATACCTAAACACATTTGTGCATGGTGAATCTAGCTTATATTTATCATTGATACAACTTCTGATTATTTGATTTTTACTCTCAATTACTTTGGTTAAAGACGTATGACTTTCATATAAATATGTTTGATTTCACTGCCAAACGTACACTTCGCCCTTCAAACAGTATAAACTCTTTTATAAAAGTAAATGGTGTTTCAGAAATTATAATAATGTAAGCCAAGTTGGTATACGAACTTTCTAATGTAACAGCTTACATTAGAAAGTTGGTATACCAACTTGGAACAAACCCCCTTGAACAGATCACAGCAATTACCGGCACTTTACAAACGACTTATTCACAATACAAACAAACGATCAACTAATACATTTCACTTCACACTAATTCACAATGACAATACACAATTGACACCCACACATTTCCTGTACACACAATACAATGAAGTAAGAACCAGATAACAAATACGGCTAACCCGACGTTTACTCCTCATTTGACTCTGAAGATGACTACCGCTAAGGTTGTCGAAACGTCAGTCAACAACAACAAAAACAGTTCTTCTCAGGACTTTACCAACCTGGACGATCTACATTTACATACATGGTAATTTTTCATTAGAATGATTGTTAATAGATCGAATAATCATCCAACTGGTTCTCTTGGAAGGAGAATTAAGCCATTCCTAGAACGTAAAGGGGGTAGTAGTGTAGTGTTTATTGATGTAAGTGGTGTTTCAAGAAAAACGGAGCCTGCATAAAAATAATTAAGTATTCACTAAAATTATTATGCATAATAAGGTAACCAACATTCAGCGACAGTTTATGTACTTTACAATTCTGCACCTGTGGGATTTCCTAGTGCTTTGTACAGTATTAACTCAAGCAAAACAAGTTAAATGTACTGTCCTACACTGATTTTCATCTCAAATTTATTTCGAAAAAGCTTTGTAACAATAAAGCGTTATTAACTGAGTTATAACTGCCATAAAACGTAAACATATTTTCCAGAAGTTGCATTGAATATGAAAAAACTAGCATTTAACCAGACGGAGCAAATATGTATTTCATGTTATTTCATGCAAATTTCATTTTTATATATAATTATATTGTGGGTTCACCCTGTATACGTGCCCTTCTGAGTTTTTTAAATGTGAATTGACGATATGGGCGCAACTGAGTGTATGAGTAAAGCCCATCTTGATTAACATTGTAGAGACGACCCTGGACACGAGATACTTTTATTAATTTTTTTCCTGGATCATGTCAATGAACGAAAGTAGAACGCAAAAATGGGGAGAGGGGTGAAAATATTCATATATTCAGCTCTGCCTATTGATATCTTCTGAAAGCAATTTTAATTTCAACAGAAATCGGCTGGCCAAAGCTGATTGTATGAATTATTCACTCACTCTACCCGAGAGGTGTATCGGGAGGAAGGCTCAGCCCCTCTTTATAATTCTTCAACACTTTATAATTTCAAATTGTGAAGAATTTTTTTATTACAAGCAGTAACAAACATAAGTTTTTTGTTCGTCTGCTTTTTATGCCACAAAGCTCCCTTGTAAAAACTTTGGTCATACACCGCTGCTCTACCCTCTTCCCCTCAATTAGCTTTCTACTTTTGCCAGTGTTCATGTCTATTCATTGATTTGAAAAATTGGTGTGCTTGTAAAAATCTAGCAATCATATCATAAACGTTTACAAAAGAAGCCAAAATTGCGGGTACTCTTTATATATCCACCTTCTTTAGTCACACAATTCCACTATCATTGTAAATACAAAACATCAACATATGGTCACTGTGTGGTAATTATTTGCTTTTGTCAGGGAAGTAATAAAATCTAAATATTAGGGTTAGGACAAACATAAGTTTCTCAATCAAATACTTTAAAGGAAAAGTATGTTTGAGTCTCACAATTTGCAAGAATAAAGATGACAGTGTCGTTTACATGTAACACTTTGTATTAACATAAAGAGTTTGCATTGATTAGTAAGATCAAGACTGTTGTGTTGCACACATTAAGGGTTAGAGTTTTTGTGAGTTTCGAGAATACTGGTGTATAACTTTCTCGACAACTTCACGAACATGCAGTGGATGGTCAATTGAAAGAATAACTTGTTGCCTAAGGTTTAAGGAAGGCCACGGCGTTTCAGCACTTATTTGACATCTGTTTCAACTTTGTCTATTCCTGAGGCAAAATATAACCTGTAATTGTAAATTTCGGGCATAAAACATTTTCATTCGTAAAATTTCATAAGTGCAACAACTCCAACGTATTTGAATTAGGCCATCTATTAAAATAATATTGGGCCATCCTAACACGGCAGTCATTAAAGTTTATATGAGCAATTACAATATTCTCACCAAAGATAAGGCGTGAAAAAAAAACAATTCAAATGATGTAGTATCAATGGAAAATTTTTTGAAATTCAAGAAACATTTGGGTCCAAACATGCAGAAAATTAAGGATTTTTGAAATCATCAGTTTTTAAGACAGCAATTCCAACATCACTATTTTATAAAATATTACGACTTTTTTCGTTAACGACAATTGAACGCTTGTGTAGCCGTTTGGTAACTGTAACAGTCAAAACAACGCAATCTATGATGTGGGATCGAGGCTTGGCCCTGTCATTGACATTTCAGTTCTACCAACTTGTGATATTCTTTTCTTGTACGATATATTTATGATTATTATAGACATCAACAATTACATTGAAGACCATTACATCATACTTGTATGGTATGACGTTGAATATTATAGAGATCACAAATTCATTGAACAATATTACGTCATACTTGTATGGTATAACTATGAATATTATGGAGATCACAAGTGCATTGAAGACCATTAAGTCATACTTGTATGGTTATGAAGCCTTGCGGACATTTTTTCATAGTGTAAGGTTCATTCCATAGAATTTTCTCTAACAAAAGAACATATGATTGCGCTGTCTAATTTGAAGAGAATAGAGATATTTATCAAAAAGTTTCCTTCATGGAATGATTACCCACGTTGGCTTACAAACAAATTGATCAACATCTACACAAAACTTCTCAAACTACCGTGAACACATCATACGATGTCATTTACATCCATCTACTTTTAGTAGATGATAAAGGTTGTAGAGTTGTTGAAAGTTGCATGCGCAAGATTTATAAATTCTATTATCTCACACCCCAGATCATTTGCTAGGTATCTGCTAGGTATCTGTAATAATTGTGTGACAGTTTTAGTTTAAAGTTTTGTACCAATAGCATCATTTAGCTTTTGTTAACTTTGCAGACAGCATATACTATAATAACAAAGGAACGTAGCAAACTACTAAGTAATAAAGAACAAGCTACAGCTTTCACCAGCCCTTTAAACATAACGTTACTAACATTAAAAACAACACGATTTATGTAATTTATAATAGTGCAAGAGATTTTTCATGAATTGACCAAGGCAGACATTATTGCCTCTTAATATAGAGTCTCCTGCTTTTATTTAAGTATGATTTTAGAAATGTTCTTGTTTTACTGTAAGTTGTAACATAAGATAGCTAGATTGCACAACCGTGTTTTACTTTTGCTGCAAGGATTGGTTTGCAATGGTAACAAGTCTTCATCAATTTTCACAAGACTATGAATTATTTGGTACTCGTTTACATAACACACGTCATTCTTTTTTAAATGTCATACGTAGTCGCACAGAAATCTAAGTATAACATCAAACTGAATTGTAAGAGATATTCTCTATATGCATGGACTTAGTAAGTATGTTAGATTTATAACTCATGCAACGGTACACAAACCACCTGCTGAAATTTGATATCCACTAAAGCACCATCTTTCACTGGAGGCAAACGAACGTATATCGTAATAACATTTACTTCCAAAATCGAAGGGAAGTGTCAATAAACAAATATGAACATTTTCAGAAAGCAAAATTAAATTAAATTAAATTGAAGCATTGGTATGTACAGTGTACTATTATGTCATAAAAAATTGCTATTCTCTTCTACACATAAACTATACGCCATAAAAATCATCTTCTTTACTTTTAAGACTTCTTTCAAATGGATGATTTTTAAAAAAATTCGTTTTCAGACTGGACCACATATATTTCTCAAAAAATTACAACTGAGGACATACTTATCTTGAACATACGAATAGCCATAAATCCCTTTCCTATTACAATGTACAATTTGAGATGTTTACGTCAAAAATTATTTAAAAACTTTAACTATCATACGGGCAATTCTAACACAAGAACAGTGTATTGGGGAATCGAACCCAAAAACTAAATTGTACCGCTCCTAAAAGATGTGCGTGACATTTTGGTAAATCAAAGCTGTTTGAAATAAATTAAACAGATCATAAATTTATTAAATAATTCAGAAATTTATCTTCCGAAGATTTTCAGACGGTCAAAAATGGTTCGTGTTCACGCTAACTTTATCGGGAGCACGTACTCTAAACAATTTCTTTTACAAAATGAATTCTGTCTTTAGTTTTTATGATTGTATATAACATAAAGTACAACTTTGGTCCCTTGCTAAGGACACTGTTTTTTTTAGACTTTACCGAAATAAAAAATCCTTAATGGAAAAACCTAAATGGTATAAATCAAGACCGAACACAAAGTCACGAGAATTTGGAGAATACTTAACAGGAAGAAACCACTAGGTATTTTAGGGATTTTAGTGATGTCTGTCGAAAGTGGGCTCGTCCTAAAAATTGATCAAGATACCAGTCCCACGTTCGTCATCTGAGCGTAGCAACTACTCGCCGTAGCTACAGTGCATGCCTATACTATCAAAACTTTCTACCTGCGCATAACATTGGAATTCCGCCCTGAAAAAGAATGCTCCTGAAGGAGGTAACCCATCATGCCCTTAACTTAACCTACTGCACGTCGCAAGTACGAGTGACCTCCAACCGGGGTGGGTTGTACTACTCATGCATTATAGCGGATCCAAAAGTGCCTTAATAGTCACTGTAGAAAACCGTTTATGAAATTGGCCAACTACAAGGACTGCATGCTTTTACCATACTAAAGGAGAGATAATTTTTCTTTACACCAGAACCACCATCTTTCCTTTGTCTTCAATAGGTCTTGCTCGCTAGATCCAGTCTCCTATGGTCTTCTTACAGATGCTATTTGCATCCTCTATGCTAAGGTACAATTTGTATCCATTAACAACAAGTAGAAGTTGTCTTCCTTTGGTCAAACTTCACTTGCATTTCCGATCTAAGCTACATATTGTCCTATCTATCCTTCTGCGAGGCAACGTCCGCGGCAAGCATACGTAGCTTCTTAATGCCGTATATTTACACAGAGGCTTCGGAAGATAAATCGAGTAAAACCGACACAAATGCATGTCAACAACAGGCTAATAACCACTGATATAACTTCACGTTTGCTAATTAAGACACAAATTTTACTAATGAGCACCGAACACAAATAATTTTTCGAGTTAAACTGAAAACTATCAAAACCTCTTAATGAAGGATATTTTTGAATTGCAGGGAAAAAACTACTATAAAAATGTTTATTTCATTTTATACCTGCACTGAAAAAATAGCCCTATAGTGGAATATACTATGCACCAGGATTTGTTGTGGCTTTTGCCCTTTCTGTAAAAAGACATGGCCTGTTAGCAGGCTAAACTACGAACAAAGCATAATGTAAACCCATGGTTTTCTTGGAATCCGTTGCCAAGTTTAAGGAAAGGACGATGAATCTTTCTTTCCTTTATTACCATGAAGTGAACGGATGCTGAGCACGTGAAATCATTCAGAATCAAAAAACAATTTTTGTCGTTGTTGGTACATCCATCGTATCCAACTTTCCGGCTACCTGACAAACATCCCCGGTTTCGTGCCGAGGACGGCAAGCACAGAAGAAAGATTGGCTATTTCTTACAACTGTGCATGTTGTCTACGGCATGAAAGCGGAATTATCGACAGCTAGTCAGAAAAGCAGGACTTTTGGTTTTGTTTTGCATGCTGTTGATACCATATTGTATTTTGTTGTAGGTTGTTAGAGATATTTTGTCTAGCACAGAAAGAGGTCCTTGCTCTTCTAGTCAAGACACTTTTGGAGCTGAAAATGGTACCTCTTTGGAAGACAGTGATACTGATGTAGATTGTAAGATCTAAAATTCTATGTTTTTTTTGTAGGTTCAGAATGGGTTTTGCTAAACTGAAGAAGAATATTGTAGGCAATGTGTTCAATACAAAGAAAACATAAGGCAATTGAAGAGAACAATAGAAAGCAAGAATGCTATTATCCAACAACTTACTGAAGGTAAATTGTTTCATTACATTCAATTTGGTTTCTTCAAGAGCATATATTCTTGTTGTGTCTCTATGTCATTTAAATAAATACATGGCTGCAATTAAATTACTAAAATATGAGTATTGTAACACCTGTGTATATCATGATTTCATAGAAAAAAAAAGAAATTACGTAAACTGGTTGGAACAGTGGTAAAATGTGTCAAGGTGGACAATCATAATGAGGAAGAAAAGCAGGATGGTAGTGATGATGATAACATGGATATGGATATTGACATTGGTAGTGAGATGGAAAATGAAGGTGAAGTTTGATTAAAATGCTAATAGCTGAAATTATATACCACAAATTTTATTAACATATAAATATGGTCCATAGGTTCTATCAACTATGACATTGAAACAGATTCTTCCCAAAGTAAAGAGCTAGAATCTGAAGATGAGACAAACCAGTCAAAAAAGTATGATTCTGCTGTACATATGAATTATTTAGTCTTCCAGTGTTATCGATCATTTTATTTGTGTCTCTCGACAGACAAAATATAATATATACATGTATTGTTCTAACAATCCAGGTGAACAAAGAAGAAAGCAACCTCAGGAAGCAACCAAAGTTTATTGTCACCTTGCCACAGCTGTTGCTCCTGTTTAAAGTATGCCCATCATGTGGTACTGATAAGCCAATAGTTAAAGTATCAAAAGTTGGTACTATGGCTGATATAAACATGTCATGTGGCAACCTTAGTTGTAAAAATAGATAGCACAACTGGAAGTTACAATCATTTCTGCCAGGTTCCTGTATTCCAATGGGAAACTTTCTCCTCTCATTTGCCATTTTATTGTCTGGAGGTTCTGCTAGCAAGGTACTTCGAGTATTCACACACATGGGTCTTCAAGGCATATCTTTGACCACATTCTTCAAACATCAAAGGGTAAGTGGATTGTTTTGATTTTCCTGATTCCCAAGGTTTGAAGTTGTGTTTTTTATATTCATTTGTTATTTCTTTATCAGGAATTGCTTTTCCCAATGGTCAGGATCCATTGGAGGAAATACAAGCTGGCCATGTTGGAAGCAATTAAGAAGCAGAAGAAAACAGTGGTCAGTGGAGATGGCAGACATGACAGCATGGGCCATTCTGCAAAATATTATGCTTACACAAGATTTTGTTGTTCTGTGCCCATGATTCTCCATTTTGAACTAATTAAAGTATGCCTTATTGACCTACTTTGTATGACACATTGAGGGTGGCTGTATTTACCCCACCACCTACTTTGTATGACACATTGAGGGTGGCTGTATTTACCCCACCCCTTACTTTTTATGGCTAATGTATGATGGTGGGATTTTGTTCCAGAGGTTTTTGTAATGGGAAATATGCCTGAAGTATACAAATTACTTATATTTTCAACCTATGTTTTTAGACACAAATTGTCTAGAGGCAATAGTCTCTGCTATATTTTGAGAGATGCAGTGTAAAGCTAGCTCAGGAAGGCAGGGAATCACTTTGTTCACTCTAATTTAGTACACATGTAAATATTTTTCTGTTTAAATCACAATTTTTATTTTAGAGAAACGAGGCGGGAAGTAGTCCAGCCATGGAATACATCGGTTTTTAAAGATGTATGGATTACATGCTGAACTGTAGACTCGATATTTCTACCAAGGTGACAGACTGCCACAAATCAATACAGAAGCACATGCGTGAGAATCTGAATCAAATAACACATTATTTTGACTATGGCACATTAAGAAAAGTTAGTCCAGTTATTGTGTAAAAGATGTGGGTTGTGTTCTGTTTCGTCATTGTGGCGAAGTTCATCAGCTAACCGAAAATCATACTTTAAGGTCTCTTCACCTTCCCTAAATTTTTTGTTCTTTTCATTCGATAAAGGCTTTCATATTTGCTCAATCTGCAGAGTTCCTGATCCAAAATGTCTCGAAGATCAAGAAAAATTAAGAAAAAAAACGTAGGTGAAAATATTCCATAGTTATGACGCGGGAAATTTCCATACAGCTGTATCAATTTTTGCTTCGGACGGTTCTAAACGAAAATTCACTTGCCTTTCATTTATTACGAAAGAAACCAGTCTATACATCTCTTTATCTACTAATGTAAAACTTACTTTTAGAACTGTGTTGACTTTCTATTAAACCTATGCAGGCTTTCCCGGAGAATTTCGCAGAACGTGAATTGAAAAATATTCGTTTACATTGTCTCTCTGAAGAGTGCAAATGGTTTGGTGCCTATGAAGAATTGGAAGTGAGATGAGCTGAGAAGTTTATCAAAAAAGCCTAACCTTACTACTTACTAATTAAAGTTTCTTTTTTGTCAGGGTCATTCTCAAGTTTGTGAGCATGCGCTCATCAGCTGCGTACATAAGCAGTGTAACATTCAGCTACCTCTCTCTCTTCTTGATGAACATTTGAATAATGATTGTGAATATCGAAATGTGAAATGTGAATATTGTGGTAAAGATGTCCCGTATGCTTCACTTAAGGTACGAGGAATATTCGTTTACTGATCAAAGTAACATTGAGTTAAGTACAAAGAAATATTCAAGACAGAATATTTCTAGAAAACATTTTTACCATAAGAACCGGAAAAATAATTGAATCTTTTCACCTCACATTATGAACCATAAACATCTGTCTCCAACGCTATTTTATATATCAGATGGAACTTTCCTTTGTTAATCATTTGACGCAAATTTATGCACAAAAATGTTGTTTTTATTTTCTTTTAACATATAGAAGCACGAAGAAATAATGTGTGAAAATTATGGAGTGGTTTGTAAGTATTGTATGCAAATGATACCAAGGAAAGATATTGAACATCATGAAAGTACGACTTGTGATGAAGTGCCGACTAAATGTGAATTTCAAGCCATTAGTTGCAACCATGATAAAGTAAGAATGTTTGTACTGATTTATAATTTCATGTCAGCAGTAGTAGGTGCGTAGTAGCTCCCACCGACAATCTTGCATTTGTTCTTTGCATAAAAACATTTTACGTCAAAAACCCTTGAGATGATAGTATGGTATAAAATTGCTTAGAAGGTTTAAAATTTCAAACAAACAATGTTAAAAACGTTGACTTTGTAGTTAAATGCATCTACATCAGGTTTAGATAAAGTAAACATTGAGAAATTCACCCATTTGCAACTTTATAAATTCAGAACATATAATTATTAAGATACTTGATGGCTTACCGAAGCTAATGAGCTAGAGCTTTCCCGATAAGCAGGTTGCAGTAAATATAATTCAATCTGCCGTATTAACGTACTTTGTACTCCTTACTCTACACGTGTATGGAGACTGGGGGGGACTGGGAAAGGCTGAGACGTGGCAAAAAAAGAAATTTCTCGTTTACTTTTTATATAAACAAAATATAAGTTGAGAAACAAGATTTATTATGACACATAATGTCTTAGTCATACATAAAGATTGAAATGAAATAACCAGTAACTAGCATCAAATATTTTGTTAAAAGAATGTGCAGGCATTATCTTTTTCTCACTTCATAGACTTTAAAACGACAGGAGATCAGACAACATATGAATGACACTCCAATTAATCACGTGAGCCTCTTGTTACGATATGTTATGGCATTTGTTATACAGCTTGGTAACTTTGTGCTACGTCCAGAGTTTACCACTCCATTGCGAAGACTTGTTGACCAAGTCACTGCTTTTCGTGCATATTACTTTGAAAAATTTGTGATGTTAGATGGCAAAATTACAGGTCTGGAAAGAAGAATTGAATGTCTCGAGGGTAGTGGTGGTAGCAATAGTTATAACACCCAGTTGTCCTCAGAGGTTTCCTTGTTGCGTGAAAGAATTGCAACACTTGAGCGACAAGCGAAAGACGATTCTTCCACTATACAACGGTTTCGTGAGCGTTTAGATCAAGTAGACGAATCAATAGTGAGAAACAGACGAATCAATAGTGAGAAACATGGTGAACATTACGAACCTCGAAGCACAACGTGAAGAGCGCACTGGGATCAAATCAGGCCATACAAAGCTACAATGGTACGTTACTTTGGAAAATAGACAACTTCAATCGAAAGCGACAGGACGCCATTAATGGTGTTAAGAATGCCTGGTACAGTCCACCATTTTACAGTTCTCAATATGGTTACAAGATGTGTGCTAACATCTGTATGAATGGTGATAGTCGGGGAAATGGAACTCATTTATCTTTGTTCTTTGTTATCATGAAAGGTAAAGCTATTTTAACAGTTTCTACTTAAGCTGCCTGAAATTTTAAGTGGAGTTTTGAAGGTATAAAATAGGCTGTACAAGATGATGTCGAAAATTGCGTTATAATAGACCTTTTCAAGGTTATCGCAACCATATTGCAAGGGGTGCAAAAATATTGGGCCGAGCGCGCGGTCACGCATGGCGTCCATATAAATTACTAATAAATGCGCAAAAATTACCCTTATACATATTGGCCATTTCTTTCAAAAATATTTCTCAAACTCGTCCATTTTAATAGTCGAATTATTATTTGCGATTTTTTATACACGTGAGTCCAATTTTGTGGTAATCAAAAAGCGGAAAGTTAAAGAAAACATTTTTTTTTTTTAACAACTTGACCGTCGTTTGAGCGATGTTCTTGAGTTCGCAAATGTGCGGATCTCATAAGCCAAGTCAAACGAACTAAGCCCTAAACTGGCCGAGTAGCCGTGAGCAGTCATAGCCGAAATGGTAAAAAATGCGCGTTGTGCAGTTGGATATTGCGATAATGATAAACGCTATCCCTATTATCAAGTTAAGAGGTCTCACGTAGAAAATTTAGTTTTTCATAAGTGGCCCAAAGATCAAGCACTTGCTGAAATTTGGCGAAAACAATTGCAAACAGCAGAGCCGATGACTTTAACCCAAAGCCTGGTGCCCAAGGTACTTTAGTTTGCTCAAATTATTTTCCTTGTCCCTTTGGAATTTGAACAGTTGACGAGAGAGTATGATGTAAGGTTTCACACCGGCCTGCCATCGACAAACAGTGTGTATTTGAATACTTGGCTGTTTAGTCGCCATACATAATAATAAAAATAGCAATGTCACTTTACAAATAATTGGAAATACTAATAAGAGTTTGCCGTCGAATAGTTCCTCGTGATACTTGCTGACTTTGCTGTGGACATGTGCGTGTTTGCGAACTCAAGAACATCGCTCAAACGACGGTCAAGTTGTTCAAAGAAAACAAATGTTTTCTTTAACTTTCCGCTTTGATTACCACAAAATTGGACTCACGTGTATAAAAATCGCAAATAATAATTCAACTATTAAAATGGACGAGTTTGAGAATATTTTTGAAAGAAATGGCCAATATGTATAAGGTTAATTTTGCGCATTTATTAGTAATTTATATGGACGCCATGCGAGCGTCCAAGATTTTATTTTCAATTCACCGAAAAAGCAGACTAAAGCTTACAATTGTTTGTTTGTGAGATGCGATACTATTTAGTTTTTTTTTATCATGTATGAAAATAAATGACGATAGAAGGGAAAGGTATGCCTTGGTATTTATTAAGACTTATATCATATTATTATAAAAATTTATATTGTGTATGATATTATTTCTAGGTGATTACGATGCTCTACAAACATGGCCATTTCAGAAATAGATCACAATGATGTTTATAGCTCAAGGAAATGGTGATCACATGATTGATGCTTTTCATTCAGATCCTCAAAGTTCCTTATTTAAGCGACCAGAGTCTGATTTGAATCCATTTGGATTGCCACTTCTAATTTGGCCGATAGAGAGTTTAAGCAATCTTCTGTTCATTAAAGAGGATACAATGTCCATTAATTTAATTGTCGAATGAACAAAAAATCTAAATACACTTGCTCCTACTTCTCTATCTTAGACACTGAAACTATCGCAATTCTTTATCAATCTAAAATTAGCTTTACACTTAGGCAAACGCAACCGAGCTAAACATGTTGCAAACAACTCTCCTAGCTCTTTTACGTAATTTTCAGTTGTCTATACAAATGCTATTTGTTGTAAAGCTCTCAGTAGTGTTTATATAAGTCTTTTTGTTTGCTTCTGGTCAGCATATCCACAGTAAAGGAATATACAACAGTAGGGCCACTTCGCTGTGCAATTGGCTGCTGTATATTTAATTAGTTTACTGGCTGCCGTTTGCCATATCGTCAATCCTATTGATCATAAAATGCAATTTACTGGCTGCCAATATGGTAATGACATGCGTAGTAAGATATGCGTGGCACGAAAAAACTCAATAGAGTGGCCCTGCTCTATGTTCTCTATACCGTGGCATTGTTATGAAGTATGTCCCCATGTTAACTTTGTAACACCGGCTCAAATGTACGTTTGGTCATATCATATCAGTGTTGCCAGATTGTGAAGAAAGTTCATAGATTTGTGAACTTTATGATCTCTTCATGAACTTTTCATGAACATGAAAAATTTGTGAACTTTTTGTGAACTTTTCAAAATTCTCTGTAGGATTTCATGAACCTTGTGTTGTCATTGCTTTAAGATAGAAAATAATAAGTACAATGATTCAGTAATAAAAATAGTAAATTGTTTACTTCTTGTAACATGTCATAATATTATGTCAAAAGTTAAACTATTTATACATATTACATAAATTATGTTAAACTAAAATTGATTTGCTGTGTTTTTCCCGCTACTTTGTTCTGTTTTGAGTTTTTATTTAACAAAAATGTCGAAGGATCAAAAAGCAACGTCGCTATGAACATGTTGGAAAGCGATAGCGATGCTGATGATGGTTGTTCATCCGTAAATGATAATGAAAAACGTGAAGTTCCAAATCCTAAAAAAGTTGAAATTTATGATCACATTCTTACTTCTGTAGATTGTCTACACTAGACCAACAAGCAAGAAAACTGTTAAATACGGGCAAACATACCGTCATGCTTGCGAAAAAGATCCTTTGTTTAAGGGTTGGCTTCACCCTGTTGCCAAAAATCCGAGCAAAGCGTACTGCAATGTTTTTAAAAGAGAGCTCACAGCAGTTATAACTGCCTTAAAAAACATGGCAAAACCACGCATCACAAGAAAAATAATTAAAATAATTCCATGTTTGCTCTTCGTTCAGACCTAATAGATGGAAAAGTTCAGGAAGCTAATTTGCGTATGGTCAGCTTTATCCAGCTTTATGGAGTTGGTGCTTCCCAAGTTCACAGAGCTAAATGCCATGTTCCAGAGTTCGAAATCTTCTGTCCACTGACTGCACAATGTTTTGAGTGCGATTTACAGAGAAAGCTGCTACTTAAACAAAGCCTACTAGAAAGGGTTAGCATTGAAAGACATCGATCCAGCCAGTAAACTAAATTTCATGCCATTGTCAAGAATGTATATGGGAGCTCGGATTGCTCTTTGTTTGACAAAAGATGAGTACAAGCAACGACCAACAGACGTGCAACATTTTCTTAAGTGTGTGCAAGAATTTTACATTGAAGCTGCTTCTCAAATAAGGAGTCAATTTCCAATAGGCGATCCGATCATTGAGATGCTTCAAGTTTTAGACCCTGGCGTAAGTTGTGCAAAGTTTTCTTCTCTTGCTCCTCTTGCGATGGCTTTTCCAAATATTATATCCGAGGCTCAACAACAAGCACTTGATGACCAGTGGTGTATGCTTTCTCATGTCACATTACTCTACGACAGTGATGGTATGGAACCATAAGAATTTTAGGGTTGCCTTGAAAAGATTACCGATGGCATTGGAAATGCAAAGTTTGATCTTTTGTTTTACTTCATGCAAAGTCTGCTTTTCTTACCTCATGTAAATGTCGATGTGGAAAAAATGTTTTCGTCAGTCAGCTCAATCGAGACCAAGAGCAAAAATCGATTGCAAACTGCAACTGTCCGGCGTTGATAAAGGTAAAAAGTGGTGTCAAGTTGTCTGGTGGTTGCGTAAAGTTCTCACCCCCACTTGAAGCTAAACAAAGGATATCAAGCAGCAGACTTTATGCTGACGAGAACAACGAGTACTCGACTGACAGCAATTAAAAACGGTACATAGACTCTTAACAGTTTACTTAAGGCTTGAAAGTGAGCCGAGTATCGATGAATGAAGCATTTACCCAAAAGCACAATATAGTTTATACAGGTCACATCTTCATTGGTTAGGCTGGGAAAATATCTTTAAGCATGATTTCGTTTCGCTCTTCATATTTGTTTATTGTAACTTTTGCTCTTTAAATTTATTTAATTTGCTAATCAATGTGATTTGATAGAGCTGTTCTGGATTTCAATCAATTATTTATCGTTTTTGGTGATTTCTGGTTATGGTATGAGTGTGCTCAACAATCACAAACTCCGAGCTATTCCGGCAAATTTCGACACATTCCGACTTTAAAAATGTTGATACATCAACTTTTGGTAATTTTTCTGAACTTTTTGACGTCAGAGAACATGAATAATTAGAAATTTTATCTGGCAACACTGTATCATATGTACAGTTTTGTACTTTTGTCATTTTGTTTCATTAAAATCGAATTTTCTACATTTAAAGCGTTTACTTTCTCAACTTATTTCATAGCACGAACAATATTTACAATAAATCATCTTACGTGTGTTCTGTTTCCTTATTTTATATTCACTCTTTAGATAATTCATTCGCAATGTAGATGTTTGAAAGAATTTTGACTATGTTTTGATTAAATAACCCCTGTTAAAAATTTTTGTGTTCAACACTAAAACCTGTGGTTGGTTTTTATTGATTATGTCTATGAGAAGGCAAAAAAGTGCACTTTACACCTGTCAATCAATGGAATAAAGCTAGTCATAGTTTAAGGAAATATAATTTTTGATAAGCGTTGTAAATTCCTGTAGATGAAGCAACTAGCCCCAGTTAGATTTATATGTATTGAGCATTCTGGCGTCCTGACCATAGCTGTGTGACAGTGGGTGCTTTGAGAACTGAAGTAGATGATTTTTGTACATTTCCACCTTTTCATCTCCTTTACAAATGTGAGACCGAAGAAATAGATAATGGTTACATAGTAGTATTAAATCTGTAAGGTGCCTACGCTATTGAATTTTGGAACCCATCTTATTAGTATGACACCATCAGAGCAAAGTTTTGCATTACACTTGCACCTCAAAAATTTTATTTTTAAATTCATGACATGAAACATTCATCGACAAAGCTTAACTGCTCTAGAATATCAAACGTTTTGTCCTGACGTTATATATTTTATGTAGTGTAAAGACTGTTCTCGTTCTTTGTTGTTCATTCATCACTACCTACACTGACACACGATATCTGGCTGCTCGTTCGTTGGTGGCGTGGTTTTATTCATCTGCAAAAGAAGAAAAACTATGTTAAATTACTCATTCAGTTTAATTAAATAATTAATTATGGCTTTATGATTTGTAGGGTTTTTTACTGTTGTGAATAGTTTAATAAGAATATTATTCTTACCATAATATTATTGATATATCGTCGTATATAGTTCACATGTCTTTACGATTAGCAGATTGACCAGTGAGAATCGTATCTTAGTTAGATATAATACCCAGGATAGTAACGTTTTGAACTGCCATAGTCTAATAGTCTAGTAACCTCGGTCATATTCCAATAAAACAGGGACTTGTTTATGGACATAAAAGTTGAGCTGATGGAAGCATTGCTTAAGAGCAACATGTTTTATTTGCGATTGTATTATGTGATGTAGACGGATTGATGGACAAAAGAAGTCCTCGTGTTTTCTAACGTCATTAAAATATATACTGTCCCATCCTTGATCATTGTTCGGAGGACTTCAAGCTAGCAAAATTACGTTGTCTCAACGTTGTAAATCGTCGTCGGTTCACTCAATGTCGGGGACCAACGTTGAGTGAACGTTTTGTGAACTCGTAGCAACGTGGTGGCGAAGTTAGGATGAACGTTGGTGTAACGAAGTTTCAACCTAAACCTGACGTTTATACAACGCTCATACAACGTTTATCCGACGTTCATTTAACATACATTTAATGATGCATTATTTGAAATCATAAGACAGCCTTTCCAATGATACGAACTAAAGTTAAATTTCTTATAATCAACTTTAATTCATCTGTTTTGTTGTGTGTTTAATATACATATTTACAAAATGCTAACTCAAGCGATTCCAATGTTGCCTTTTGGACCTTAAGAAAAAACATATATGATTATTAAAATGAGTCTATATCATTTTTATATCTTCTACAACAACATTGACATATTGTCTGTAAAGATGTCATTTAAATGGAAAACTGAATCGTCTGCTGTATGTATATCTTCTTAATTTAATTTATATAAACATATTGATCAAAGTATTTTTTAGTTTTATTCACTTAAAAGCAATCGAATAAATCCACTTATATGAATGCCACTACGTACGTACGTCGGATATAAGAAATTATCTCGCTCTACAACGTCATCTCATACGCACGAGAAACAAAACAAGTGAACAAAATTTTAATCGTTATGACACCTTTTTTACATTTAACCAACACTGTCTTTTTTATATAAATAATAAAAAAATTATTAAATTGGGTTTTCACGTAATATAAAGAATTATCAAGGCATCAATGTGTTCTATCTGCCTCAGCGTTGGTAGATTGAACAAACCTTGGCCTTCATAAGTCTTAATTCATATACTATTTCATTCAATAATTGTTTAGCATCACGCTAAGAAAATTGTATACAATAAATCTAATCATGCAGTTTGAGTTAACAAAATTTAAAACTTGCACAAATCTAATACCTGCACTAAAATGAACGTTTTTAAAGGTACGCATTATGTATATGTGTCCATTCCATTTTGCTTCACTTATCATTAAAGGACAATGAAAGACACATGCTCACTTTCTTTAAGTGCACATGCCAATAATGTTATTGTGTATTTTTCTCAACTTACACAGACAAGAAAATACAAATAAGTTAACTATGAGATTATGGAGTAAAATAAGTTGAGTTCTTCCTGTCTAAGTTGAGAAAATCAAACAAAAAAATGGCATCTATATACTTTACCCAGCAATCTATGATGATAATGACATGTTACCTTAAATCTGGAACCACCTTGCTTGCCTGGATCGTATTTTAAAAATTTGGCAATTTGCTCTTCAACGTTGGCCTCGCTGCATCCTTTATGAGCTCTGAGGCAGGCTTCTAACAAGTGAAACGAAACAGAAAAGACATACGTTAAATAAATTGCATAGATAAAAAACTCAATCATTTTTGCAAGATGAATGATAAACAGCAATTCATTAAAGTGACATATGCAAAACAGTTTCATGTATTAGCTTTTAAAACTTGCAACAATATTCCTTATGACAAGGAGCAACATAAATGGCTGATTTTCCAATTCATGAACGAGAAAAAAAGAGACAAAACATGGTACTGCTGCAGCAATCATTATCGTCTAATTGTGCTTACTTGTTATAACTTTGCAGAGGGCAATGTGCTGAAATGGTCGCTTTGACTTTCTGCCTTTTAAACTATATTGGGACCATAGATTATTTGTTCCCAGCTTTGTCATAATTCTTCTAACACTGTTTGTACAGGTGTTTGCACACAGTGCTACCAAAAACTGCAGCTAGTAAGGAGAGTAAAAGATAAATTATATTGCAAAATTCAATTTAGACATATATATATAACCATTTTGATCTCGAAATGCAAAACAAAACCATCCAAATTGAATGGTGAAAGCTTTTAGAAAGACCAGTTTCTTCGTTAAAATTTTTCAGCACAAATAAAACGACACACTCCTAAGAGCCGTTTGAAGTAATGTAACGTATTTAAATCAATCAGTACATGACAATGCTCTCACGAAAAACACGATGCTAGATTCATATAGTTTAACCAGATAATCTGACCCCTAACGTCACGAAAATCTTCATTAAAATTACGTTTCAGACTTTGACAAACGTGCTTGTTTTCAAGCTTCAAACACAAATGGTAGAAAAAAAGTCAATATTATGTTACGTAATTGCAAATGAAACTATCGTTTTCACGTTTCCAAACCAATAAAGGAGAAGGGCTATGCCTTCCTTTGTCACATTTTTTTACGTAACACTTGAAAGAGTCAGGCATAAAAAATAGGCAGTGCCAATAAATATTACTGAATACGTATGGGTGGTTAACTTTCCAAAACTTACCAACTTTCTTTTGGACTTTTTTTCATCAAGACTAGAAGATTGCTCCTCAAGTTCTTCAACCGAATCTAAGGCATTAGGTACAATATCTTCCAAAATTTCGTGCTCGTCTACACCTTTCTTAGCGCTTAACAGAGCACCCAATATTGAAAACGCTTCTTCTTGCTTATCAATTAATGCTTCCAGTTTGGTGAGAACTGATCTTTGGAAGCCTACAAGATAGATAAGAAAATAATAGAATAACTTATGTATAACCTACGTAATATCTTAAAAATATAAAACCTTACAACATGCTAACAAGAAAATTCAAATAAAACTCGCATCAAATTGCTAATTGAATAAGCATACATAGTAAAAAAGCTTTTCAAAAACTATATACTGTAGAAAAGGTACCATTAATGTTTGGTTGAGAACGTCTTCCTGCAGGTGTTATGTTCATAAAACTTGTCGAAGGCGTTTCGTGCGATGAAAGGTCATGCGCATCTACAAAGCAATCACGTGTTGCAGTCAGTTGTGAAGGGAAAAAAACATTTCAAGCGACACGAAATGAACGTAAATAAAAACGTAACAACAAGACATGCAATAATGAAGTGTAAGAAAAGCTTGCCTACGACACCACTGTTTCGTTGAGAATGTCTTTCTCTTGTTGTGCCAGTTGTAGGAATTCCTTGTGAAGAGACGTTGCTTGTATTTACAGAGAAGACACGTACTGGGTTTAACATATATCTTTATTGAACGCACGAACGTCATTTAAATTAAAGCACTACAAGTTTCAAAAATCAGAAACAGAAAGGTGACTAAAACAAAAATCTCCAGAAAGTTTCATTTGGTAGTTTCATAGCAAACGCTGAGAATTAGATTTGAACGAATGCATTTTGATTAAATCGTGGTGAACACAACTGAAATTTTAACTATAACTAACATTTTTTCAACTAATTACAACAACATTTTAAAGGACCAACGCCTACAGCACCTGTAGAACATACATAAGCCCTATGATGCAACGATGGACGTAGAAAAACAGTAAATGTACCATACGAATGTTAAAGTTATTTAAAAAGAATCAATCAAAATTATTTCAGCATTTTAGTCGACATATTAGATGAAAGTTGGTGATTAGTCAGTTCTGATGACAGAAAACTTAACACTACGCTGAAATGGTGTCCTACTAGTAGATGGGGAAGTTATTGCATGATCCTTTGCGTTTTGGATTTGTGGTGCTAGTTCACCGTCATAGAAAATCTAGATCAACATTATATTAGTATGAAAAGAGAAATTTTATACGTGCATGTTTCTGTCAAAAATTGTCCACTTGTACAAGGATTATAATAGCGCTTATACCTTTTTCTGCAAGGGAGATCAGCTTGCTGTACACCGGCAAATCTAAAAAGCAAAATCACTCATTACATTTAAATGCAACGTAGCAATATGTGAAAAACTGCACTCCTTTGAATAAAGCAATGGCCTATTGCATTGCAACTACAGTACTTACTTCTAGAATTTGTTGATAAGATTACATTGACGGCTGAAAGAAATTTTGCCTGTATACAAAAGAAACTGTCTGAATTCTGTAGATTTCCATCTGTCAACCTTCATTAAACTCCTAGGTTTTCGCACAAATGTAGAGGGGATAAATGGTTTAAGCTCAACCAATTTTTTACTAACAGCCTCTACATGGGCAACAGACATTTTAGCAGTGCGATTTCCCCTCATCCAAACCATAATCAATTTACCCATAACATGCAGACACAGTTGATGCATGTAGTCAAATGGAAATTGTTTTACCATATCAACAGGCAAGTGACAGAAAGGGCTAACAAAGCGATGATGTTCTTCTTCTATCTGCTTTCTAAAAGAAATGATAGAGCACAATTCTATATGATTATTTTGAGAGTAAGTCACTTGACCAAGCAACTTCCCTTTTTGTGTACACTTGTCACAACCAAAACAACCAGTACAAAATTTTGTACCTTTAACAAGTGTCTTGCAGGAGCATCACAAACAATGCCCTTACTGTAACAGTCAGAACCTTTCCCCATCTTGGACTCCTCTAGAATACCCTCAAATTTTCTATAAAATCATCCAAAACTCCAAGTCTTTTGGCTTGAAGTCACCATGTTAGGACAATAGGAAACACTATAACAGGTTTGATATTCAAAATGGCACACAACACTGGCCATACATTTTTTGCAGAACTTTTAAACAAAGAAAGCCCATCAACATTTAAAGAGATTTCAAGATGATTAATGTTCTTAACTGTTTCACAAGGATGCTTGTGAAAGTGCTTTAACAATTGTTCACCAAAAGAAAAGTACACGTATGCCATGCCAGAATTTTTCTGAATGGGAATACATCTTGATGTATGCAACAAAGTTCAAGCACAACTAGGCAAATTTAAATGACCATTATCCTTAAGAAAAGCAAGCAAACCATCAACAGCATTTTGCTCAATTGAGTACTCATTCCCCCAATCAACTAACCTATCTTGAAAAGAAACATTTAAACTATCATCTTCAAAATCAGAAGAATCAGAAAAATGCCTTTCCCCAATGTCTGCATTCAGATGCACTAAAAAATCAGCTTTTCCATGGCAAAAAGAAACATCTAAAATATCAACTTCACCAGAAACAGCACAGTCATTTTCCCCAATATCACAATCATTAAGAGCAACTTTTAAAGAGAAAGAACTTTGATTAGGACTGTCAATGGTTCAAGTTGATTTTTTGTAAAGGTTGTGAATGTTTATGGTCATTATAAAAAACATTATTGAACAGATTACTACAGCCATCATCATTAGGCATTGCAACACTGCATCTTAAAGCTCTATTAGCAGCAGTTCAGTTTTTTCTGTATTGCACCTGGTCACGTTTAATTATGATATGAACTAAAATAAATAATAAAATGTAACTGTCACTCTATTTATTATTGATTGATTTAAACATATCCTAATGTTATAACTCATTCTCCCTAAGTGCTGGTGATCACAACATTTAGGAAAATGTTTGAATAAAAAAATAATAAGTCTCATTCACAGGTCATGGTAACTTATACGTCTCCTCAACCATTTGTAACTTATTCTCTTCTTTACATGCATGTATCATATCTAATTTATACATAACCCTAAAATTTTAAGTATAACATTATAGTTTACTTGCTAAAAACAGCAAATGGAAAATGTTCTAAGCAACTAAATAAAAATAATTTAACTGACATTGCAAGCTTACTAAAGAAATAGGCTAAGTTAATAAACCAATCTAAGAGATAAAAAAGTGGGTTGTAAACTACATATTGTCTTGAATGCAATAACTGGACAAACGATACTTACTAGTATTATAAAGCAACCATGCATTGTTATGAATAAACATTCAATTACCTCTTTGTAAAATTATATCACTGTTTAAAACTGCTGTGATTTGCAATAGAAAGTACAACTATTTTAAGGTTTAAGGCTACGTGATTCTTAATCAAAACATTTTGTAAATCACATAATCACATAACCCCATGTTAAAAATATTAATCATCACGCTTATCAGTCAGTCAGTTAATATAATTCCAGATATGCTAAAACGTGATATTTACGTAAGATTTCAGATATAAAACAGAATTTTGACAATGAAATTCATACGATATACATCGAGAATTCAATGATCACAAAAATTGTAATCATTAAATTTGATAAGTAATTTTGAACTATAAACATCAGTCGCGTGAATGATTTGACAACCCTAGATCCGCCCCTGCAAACACAACATACGTACTGATGAATACCATATCCAAATGCTGTAGCAAGGTGTAGTGATAATATTATCTTTATAAAATAAAAATAGAAATTAAAACTAAGTATAAACTAAGCTTAGTAAATTTGTTTGTTCCTACACCAATATACCCGGACTCATAAAGTCACGGCAAAAGTAAGATACGACAATCTCTAGATTATAAAGAATGATAAAATAAAGGTACTTACCACAATTTTACGCATTGAAACATATTCTAGATCATAACTGCCTCTAAACTTGGAAAGCGAGCTGTGCATTATCTTGTCTTGACAACTATTAGGCAAATCATGATTCTTTGAGCGATTTTCAAATGAACACAAACGCCGATATTTTACAGGTATCGAAATAATTTTGATGTCACATTGATTTAAATAACTTCATTTATGCATGACAGATATTTGAGATAAGTAAAACGTCGCGAAATGCCTTAAATATTCAAAAATCCTTGTTTGTAAACGTTATCCGCCATACATTTTTAAAGTAAGTTGTATCTCTGGTGGTAACCGGAAGTGCATTATGCATGTATAAATAGGCTTCACATTTAAAAACCAAAGCTCAAAATAATTCGCGATTTTGCTGCCGCCAAGAAACCCGATGTAGTGTTCATCGCAGAAACATAGCTTACATGATACTTGTAATCTTGAGATATCTGAGTATAACATTGTTTATAAAAACAGAGCTTTTGGACCACATGGATGGTGTATGTCTATATATAAAAAAAAATTTATTCAGTTTACAGTTCTTGACTAATTTAGTTCGACCACGTTTGAGGCTTTTGGGTTAAAATTATGCCAATCAACTAGTTATAAACTAATTAGTTAATTCAATTACAGCAATGGACATTTTATATTCTTGTGTGAAGTCGTTTTGAATTGTGCTTTTAATAAACTTAACTTTTGCCATCTTGCGGACAATTCTGATTACCAGAAACATATTGAAATATACCTAAATGATACAACCAAACATCGGATATGATCTTAACAAATCTTTGTAGTTTCTACAATAAGAATTCTATATCAGCTTTCCTCCATTTAATTTATCAGAGTATAATGTAATGTTTCCTTATCAAGGCGTGTGAGATTTACTTTTCCCTACATTTAAGTCAACGAACGCCTATTTTGTTTTATTCAACTTAAACAATCAAATGAAACAAAAGTCCACAATCTGATATTGTAAATTTTCATGTATAAGACAAACTCTTAATTATAGAGCTAAGGTTTTTTTAACAAACAACCAAAATACCAAGGAAACGGAAATAAAATTCAAACATGTTAATAAAACAATAAAAATCATAAGGCCGTATCTTTGCTTTAAATAACAATAAGCTTTTAATGTTTTAAATTAAGTTGCACAAAATAATTTGCCACGTATCAACTCAAAGGAACCATTTGACGCTTAACTTTTCAGAACGTTAAGTGATTTGAAAGATCGAATGTTCAAAACCTCAACCATCAACCAGTAAAAGGTTTGTAAGACAAAAGAAGAATTATCGTGTGTTAACAATGTATAAATGAGATCTTAAATAAAAGTTGTTCGTCAAATATAATTAATACACTTTTAATAAATATTAGTCTCAACCTAGTACTATAAAATATACATCATAGATACCCGTAGCAGCTTTGTGATCCAGTTGTAATAATTAATTAAACAAAGTTACAAATACAAACAATTTGCTTATCAAAAATCACTGTCATCTAAAGGAAGTCGTGTTTATCATAATGTGCTTGCTTGTTAAGGAATTTAAATTGCTTGCTAGCATGCAATTATATATTTTTCTTTAAAGTTGTTCTTTGATATTTGTTCATCCTCTCAATTTTCTAACATCCTTGTCTTGTTGAATCGAGTAAATCTATGTAGAGCTAGTTGTGCTTTGCCATGGCCAGGTCGCTGGTGTGGTTCTCTGGCATCCCCAGGTATCTTGGTTGCGCTTTGGTGGTTCCATCTGGCGGTATCTATGTTCGGTAGTGGTGCTGGTCTCGAGGTAACAGTCTGTGTCTGTCGGTCCTACACGTGGTAATGACGATGTTGGTTTCTTTTATTGCTGTTAATTTGTTGGAAGGTTCTCCATTGACTCTTTTGTATCAGCAGTAGGTCCGTAATAGCATTCGGGTAACTGCCTTTGCAAATGTAAAATTGCCGGAGAAATTTTCTTTAGTGTATCTTCTTTGTCTCTTTGGTTCTGTATTCTCACGTGATGTCCAATGGACAGAGGAGGTAATCTTCTCAAGTGCTTGACCAACGTTCCAGCCCCTCTCCAATGTGGTGGTTGGTTTCAAAGCCTCTTCAATAGACATCGAGTGTTTCTGCTCCAGGTTGTGTGTATCTATAACCAGGAAATTGGTATGAAATCTTTAATGGTCTAATGAAGACGCATTGGGGCCGTGATGAAGAAAGTATCGGTATCGGGCGTGTTACGATATTTTGTTCGTTACCTGTAAGGCGTTTATGCTGTGGGGCTGCCATTGTTCGTGATGAGACGTTTCACAGTTTAAACAGCAACCCAGCGCAATTTGAGTAAGTGGAATGCAACGAATGCGAGGCGGTGGTACTCCCATTATACAGGAACTGCCGCAGTTCACGCGGTGAATTGCATCCACCGTAAAGCACATTGTCTGGTATCCCAAAGGTGGTTTCGCACAATCTTAAAAAGTGCTGGTTCCATTTTCTAAAACCCCCACCTCTACGATGGACTGTATTTTGAACACTCACTAAGATATTTAAGTGCCAGTACGATTTTACGTCCTAAAATGACGCATTGCGGGGAGGAAGTGTTCTCTTAACATGACTATACTTTTATTGTACATGAATTTAATATCCGTTATATTTTATAATCTTATACATGAAGTTCACACTCTACATATTGACATTTACAATTTTACAACAACTCCCACTTTATGTCATACTTCCAAAATATCTTAAAAACGTAGGTATTTTAGTAAATTTATACTTTTATTCTATTGATCAATTTGTTCCAAAATTAAAATCAAACTTAGAAACCAATAAAAATCATAAAACCATGTCTTTGCTTTACATAACAATCTATTCTTAAGATGTTTTAAATTTCGTGGCACAAAATAATTTTCCACTCATCGACTCGAAAGAAGAATATATGAATCTTAAGTTATTTCATAATTTTAAATCTTTCTAAAAGTTCAACTGTTCAAGGCTACACGCCGTTAACCAGTATAAGGCTTTACAAAACAAGAATTTTCATGCTTGATTACGACGTATAAATGTGACTATGGAAGCTTGTAAATTTGTAAT